GAGAACAACTTGGAAAAAAAAGAAAACCTGGGCACAACCATGGCTTAAATCACTGGGGGGGCAACCTTTTTGGTAGGCATGCCACAGATCTGCCCTGCACCCTCCTTGAGTGGCACTCTGATCCCCTTCTCCTGCCCTGTTCCAGACCGGTACTCCCTGACTATGCTTTCCTGCCCTGCCACTGTGCTGCCTATCCCCTCCCTGATCTGCTGCATGCCACACAGAGGCTGCCAATGTGCTGCAGGTCAGCCACCCTTAACTTAAATTATGACTGCTTTAGCCAACAAGGGGGAACCCTCCCATCACCCCTACATATGTACAGTAATGATCCTTGAAAAGAGAGGGCAAAATTAAGTCCCTAAAAATTAAGACCCTGATCCCGCAAGCTCTTCAACTTGTGAAAAACTTCACCTCTGTATATAGACCAACTGAGCAGGAGCCAAGTTTCATGAGGTTACTCATACATCCATTAGACCAGGGCTCCAGGTGCTCCCCATCTTCCCATCACTGACAGGGGTATATTTCTATTAGCTTTAACATGATTTTTTTCCTTAAGTGAGTATAGCAAGATCAAGTCCTGAAATGCAGACTTTCACAACTCATTCTCCTTCTGCTTAGCTTCTAGCCACCGATTCGTATTCCCCAAAAGACAGTGGCTCAGAAATATGGGCAGGTTTTCAAGCATATGTTCAATGAAGTAATACCAGCAAAGAGATGGACAATCTGATCCCTTAAAATATTAATCTACTTTTCACAGTTAGCAGTCCAGCGTGCACAAAAATGGAAATATTTACCTAAGTGGAAAGCTTTATCACTTTATGTGTTTTGACTGCTCCGAAAACTCAACTATGATTGTCGTATAACCACTAATCTGTTGAATAAAAGTGACACTAAAAATGGGAATTACTGAAGTAATATTTAATTTGTTTTCTTTTCCAATGAAAAACACTAACACTATGATGATTATTTCTATGAGTTCTGGGTATTGGTTTTAACTCAATACTCTTAGGAGCTATTATCTGTGATGAAAACAATCAAACCAAATGGTTCATTATAAACCTAATCAACCTGCCAAAACTCCTTTTTGTAAAAAAAGCATGCTATTAGCATGTCTCCATTTCCACATAGCTTAAAAGTGCCCTACAAGATGCAACAGCTGGTCTGATGCTTTTATTTTTTTTAACCAATCTGAAGCACCAGCATGGCTGAAAAAAACAAACAAACAGCTTATCTGGGATTTGTCTACAATTTATCAGTGAATATAGACTGCATTTGCAGCAGTCAGGGGCAGTTGCCCAGTCCAACACCAGGCCTCAATCCTCTTCCAAAATGGATGGGTTATATAAGCATTATACCTTGTGGTATTATAAAACTGCATAATTTTAAAAATATTAAGAATTAATATTTTCATTTCTTTAGTCAAATTTATTGCAGAAGTCATAAAAACAGAAAGATATACCTGTTGGTTAGATAATACAAAAAGCTACAAATCTAGAAAAATGTCTGACTCTGCACAAGAGCTCTGCGGTGGTAAGAGACTGGTACAATATGCAAAAGGACAAGAGTGGAATTCAGGTATGACATTTTTATTTCTCTCTAAGGCTAGGGACAGAAGATATACATAAACCAGTTTAAGTGATCAGAAACTGGTTTAAATCTGTAGCAGAACATAAGTTCAGTGCATATAAACTAGTTTCAAAACGGCCAAAACTAGTTTAAGATAAACCTAGTTGAATGTAGTATCTGACTCAACTGATCTGGGTCAAACCAGTTTATGGAACTTGTCCCACACCCCTTCCTGGTTTAAGTTAAATCAGAGTCCCACAGCATGCTTTACAGCCCTGGGCTGGGCTGTCTGCTCTAGAAAGCAAGGCTGGCTCAGCCCCTCTCCACCCTAGCCAGAGCTCCAGCTAGCTGAGAAGGAGGTGGTGACTGCAGCATCTGCCTGGCTTCCCCCCTGCCCCACCCACCCCTCGCTGCTCAAGCCGGGATCCCCCCCTTCCTCTCTCCCCCGGGCAGAGATGCCAGCCAGCATCTGGTCAATCACACCACCCCCATTCTAGCTAATGCTTGCCTCTCCCTCTCCAACAAAGGCAGATAGAATAGTGTTCGCTTAGGGCTTTTTGGAGATAATCAACAGGTCAGCAGGTAAATGTCCCTCCGTTCTTCCTTAAAAATGCTTTGCAAAAAGCTGTTTAAGAAGAGCTTGAACTAATGAGAGGCTTTGTTTTCTTGATGGGCTGATAAGCTTTGCATTCTAGTAAGCTCCCTGCTGGCTTGCTCTCAGTGTTCAACAAGGGGCAGAGAGAGGTGTGAGAAATGACCTGGTTTGCAGTGAATGCAGTGCCTGTCAGTTTGCAGCAGATGATATTAAGAAGCAGGGAGAGGAAGGCTGAAAAGCTCAGTATCATCAACAGATCCATGCAGTCCACACAAGTAGGGGCTCCCCACCCTTTGCCTCAGAGCGCTAGCCAGGGGTCTAGCAACACTTCCCACCCCTTGAGCAGCAAACAGGGGGCTGAGGGAAGCCCAGCAAGGGCTGCTTCTTCTTCCCCTTCCAGACACACCCCGGCTAGGGACTGTTCAGGCCAGAATGGGAGTTTAAACCCCTCCCTAATCATAGCATCCTGCCGGGGCCTGGCCATAACCCTTTAAACAAATTATTGGAATGAATGATTGTTGCAATTCTGAAAGAAAATGTATAGCATGTTAGTGAAGATGGAATGGAAAAGGAGTGAACGGAAGGTTTTATATTTAAAGGCATGGGAATGGGAGTCAGAGCATACAACTCCTAAATTGCTCAGATTGCCAGTCAGATCTGGCCAAACCACTCATGTCTATTATTTTTAAAAATGGCTTCTAAGATATTTGGCACACTTTGCTTTTTGTTTCATGGTATCCCCTTACCTTGCTTCATCTATATCAAATCTTGGCCCTTCCTCCCTTAAATTTCTAGTTAAGAGAGAGACATTAATTTCAGTTACACTATGAAAAAAATTTGTAAGGGGCATCTTGTGGTACCTTTACATTAAAAAGACAACTAAGACCCAAATCTTTTCCTCAATATCCAACTGGAATAAACAAGTTATTTCTTGGGAAGCAGAATCTCTCTTACCAGATTGTGCTCCACAGTGACTACTCTTGCCTGAGGGACGCAGCAATCTCTCTGGCATTGGCATATGTGTGCCTGTGTTCAGATAGTGGATTGACGGATCTGTAGAGTCATGGATTCATTAAGCCCAGAGCTCAGAATAAGGAAACCCAAGTGGTACAGACATAGTGTAGAAGCCTCATGCAACTCATCCCTTTCCCGCACATCAAGAATCATATTGGTTCTATTGTATTTAGAGTCTTGCAAGCAATTGCTGAATTGACAAGTACAAAAAAGGCACTGATGACTATATTTTTAATTAAATGATAGGCATGTATTTTTGATTGTGAGCTCAGTATCTATGAGTCAGGAAGAAATAGCACTTGAGCAAGAGTGTGGGTTATTGGGATGGTCAATGGTGGAGTCGATTTCTATAAACATTATGAAAATACAAGGGGGTTTCCCACACCCTGTAGATAGAGGGTGAGGGAAAAGGGCAGGGTTGAAGATCTCTAGGTTGTGGGCCCGTTACAGGTAGGGAAACGATGTTGGTGTCTTCTACAAAGAAATTCCTGCCCTTTGGGCAGGGGGCTGGATCCAATGATCTTACAAAGTCCCTTCCAGCCCTAATGTCCATAAATTGAAATGAATTTGTAGAGGGAAGTGAGGAGCATTTTTTTTAAATTATATTTTGGCCATGTTGTTTTTGAGATTATGTCAAAGACTTTGCTCATGTAGATAGTTTTTTTGTTTGTTTGTTTTACACAAAGCTGCAGGAAACATTCCCTGCCCCAAAACATTTATGCAATCTAAGATATCACTGAGACAGGCAGGGATACACAACAGAAAAAGGAGAAGAGACATCTAAGCTACAGAGCATCATTTGGCAATTATCAGTATAGAACTGATCATTAAAAACATACACACCTGGACCAAGTTGCCCAAGGTTAAGGCCAATAAGTAAGAGAGGCAACCCAAGAATAGAGCCCAGAGGGACTGGAAGAGAACAGGGGAAGCTGCCAAGCTAGTAGGATGGAAGACCTATAAGTGTCACAGAAGCTGAGAAAAAGTGGGTATTGAGGAGAAAGTGACAACAGCCTTTTGAAGGCAGCAAAAGGCTGAAGAGGATGGAATATAGGCATTAAAGCTTATATGCTACAGAAGACTTGAACAGAGTCATTCGAGACAAATCAGAATAAGCACAAGCAGCATCAGCAAATCACACAGCTATTGTGGAAAGCTTTTTAAAATTGCCTTGTAGAGACTAGAATTCAAGGTTAGCTAACAAACAGTACATAACAAATTTTCAAGATTCCCAGTTGCCAAGTTCAGGTCTCCCCACCAGCAGATTCTAAATATCACAACTTGAGTTCTAATCTAGACAAGGTAAGTTATATTGGACATTACAAAGAAGGAGAAAGGATAGTGACTGGAAGCAGGCATGTTAACACCAAGGAAAAGAGATGGAGTATAAACACAGGGAGGTAAAAGTTGGAAAGAGGTTAATGGACACAGGGGGAAGATAGAAGAACTGGAGAAGAATGACAGTCAGTGATAAATAACTACTAATTTTTAGTAAAATAAGTAAAATTATTTAGGACTAAGTATTTTTGTTTTAAAAATTGCAGCATGCAACTACCTAGAACTCTTTCCTAATACCTCTTTTGCTGACTATTCTTTGGTCAAATTTTAAGAATTTACTAACCAAAATTCATTTATTTGTGCACCTCTGTGGAATACATAGCTATATAAATTTACATAATCTCAAAGTCTCTTGTCAGCTAAAGTACTATACCTAGGTATGTCTAAAAAAATAAATAAATAAAAAACAGAGGCTTCATTTTCAGACTGTGGTTTCCACTTACACATGCACTCACATCTAACAATAATTACTGAACACAAACCATACCATAGCACTGGTGGTGAGATCCTGGAATGCTCTATCTATATTGTCCTGTGTAGGTTCAGGTAGTGTGGAAGAGTGGTTCAAACCTGATGTGTTTGAAGATTCAGCAATAGACTTTTTGGATGAACTGACTTCCGCCTAAAGAAATACAAATGTACATTTCAAATGAGTGATCAAAATAGATTTAAAAAAAAACAAACAAACCCCAAACAATACTAATTTTAGAGCATCTGTTTTAACATCTGCAGTGGGTGGCTTTGACTATAAAGAGTCGTGCAAATTGTGTTTAAACTATGTATTTTTCAAAACTTGTTGATGAGTTGTAACTCTCAAATTTATACAAGGGGAAAGCCCACTAATGAACAAAGCCTAAAATTTTAAAGATAGGTCTAATTTTTCTTTATACTGTTTTTTGCATTATGTTGGGTGTTAACATCCATAAAGGGAAATAAAGAGTGGAAGGGAGAGGAACCCTGAAGATGTTATTGCAAATAAACACTAACTTTTTTAAACATCATAATCCTTACCGGGTCTTACTGATTTTGACAGGTTAGATGAGCACTAATTGCCCTTGTATAGATTTATTGATGCATTACACACATACAGGCTTTCTATTAAATTTAGGCTCCCATATTTTTTATTTCTCACTTCTCGGGAAGAGCAGTTTCCATGCCAGATGTTAATCTTTCCGTTTACAGTCTCCTCAAGCTGTTCAAAACAAGCTTGCAATATTTTGTGATGGAAAAAAGTATATGCTTAACTCTCTTCATAAGAAAGAAAGAAAGAAAGAAAGAAAAAAGCATTGCCCAAACTTGCTTTAACACACATTTTTGGGCAGACACTAATCTAGACAGAAAACAGGGATTGGAATGAATACAGTTATGCAAACTTTACTATAGTAGTTACTCCAGCCATCAGTGTAACTGAATGAAAGCCAGTGCTTGAACTGCACAGCACATTAGTTTCCATTTTCCCCAGAGACAAAGTACCCTATCTAGAGGTGCGCTGATACATTGGTCCAATATCGCATTGGCACTGATATAAAGAAAACTGGCTGTATTGGAAATTGACCCAATGAGGCCAATAATTCGGCTGATAAATGCCTGTGCATGCGCACAGCAACAGTGTAGCACACAGGTTGCATGCATGCATGGGCATTTATCGGCCAAACAGGAACACAGCCCGGCAGCGTGGAGAGCTGTGTGCAGCTGGTAAGTTCGTTGTGGAGGAAGGGGAGGTGGGGGGAGAGAAAGGGTGTGGGGGGTGCAGATCAATGCTCCCCACGGTGAGGGAGGGAGTAGGGCAGGGACAGGGGCTGCCCAGCTGTGGTCGGACGGGGCGCAGGATGGAGCCGTGGCTCATCTGGAGGGCACTGGGGGGGAGGAGGGGGAAGCAGTGCACCCCCTGGATCTGTGCAGGGAAGGGCAGGCAGGCTGCAGCCAGGACTGCGCCAGGGTCTTCTCAGCAGGGGCTGGGTTCAGGGCAGGTGGCAGCAGCGTTGGGAGGGGGGCTGCAGCCACCACAAGTTTTGCCATAGCCCCCCCAAGCCCCCCTCCCAGTGACACCGCTGCCCACCTGGCACACACCTGGCTCAACCCCCACCTCTACCCACACACCAGGAAGAGCTGGGGCTGCACCAGGCAGGCATCAGCAGTGCTGGGAGGGGGGGGGGGGGGGGGGGGGGCTATGATGAAATTTGGGGTGGCTGCAGCCCCCCCCTGTACCCCTCCCACCACCCAACCCCAAGACCAGCCCCTACCAAGAGGAACCCCAGCTCCAGCCCACAGCTGCAGGCTACTTGTCCGACGCCACGCAGATCCGGGGGCACAGCCCCCCCCCCCTTGTCCTCCTGGGGTGTGCACACCAGCAGGAGCCACCTCCCCCCCACACGAGCCATGGTTTCGTCCCATGCCCCACCCGCCTACTCCCTCCCTCACTGCAGGGGGTGTTGATCTGCACCCCCTCCTCTATGCCCCTCCCCTTCCACTACAACAGATTTACCAGCTGGATGCAGCTGTATCAGAAATCAGACTGATATTGGCAAATATGCCTCCTTAAAGTCGGCTATTGGTATCAGGTCCCAAAATGTCTATCGGTGCACCCCTAGCACTATCTATGGTAGTTGCGCCCTCTTCTACAAATAGATCTTTAGAGAAGTACAAGACAATGTATTGCTACATGAAAACATGAGCCTGCTTTGCATGTTTTTGTTTCCTCATAGCAACGTCACACTAAAATTAAAGCAATAACAAAAATACCAATAGCTATTCTACCTTGAAGCTAATTTGTCTGGCAAGTTCCTTAGCCTCTTTGTCAGCTTGGCTTGAAGAGCTTTCTGATGTTAATGGTAGCAGGGCTTCCTTCATGGACACACCACATGCCTCACAGCAGAAATCCTGTGACCTGGTGATAAGTAAAATTAGTCTTCAATTGACATTTTCTTAATGCTATGCCCCACCTGGCAGTCCATACTTTAGAATTTTCCATGCTCAATAATTTCACATTTAATGAAGCGACTTCTTGGAACCAAAGAAGAGTTTTCTACTCTACCTTCATACTGAAACACTTATGAATTGATCCACCTCACTCTTTCATTACCTTCCGCTCCCAAAAGGGGCTCTCAGAGCTATTAGAGAATAGAGATGTGCGAAACGGCACCATTCCATTTCGCCTTGAGTTTCAAGGTTTCAATCAAACCATGTTTTGTATTGAATTTCATTTCGATTTGAAATAGCTGTTCCATTTTGCTTCGTTGAAACAGTAAGGCTGCTTCGACTCTGTTTTGATGTTTCGCTAGATCAGCCAAGAATGGGGAGTCAGCCCAGCCCAGACTAGCCTTGCTGTATTTCGAGGCTGTTTTGACACCCTTTGTTTCATTTCGATTTTGCTGTTTCAACCTCAAAAATTAGTCGAAACAGTGCCAAAAAGAAATGGCCAGTGAAATTTCACACAGCCCTATTAGTGAATGCCATCTGCTATGGCCCCTACGTACGAAAGAACTTTTAAGGAAATAAACCTCTAAACCATGGCCTTTTGTTTTTGAGTAAGCTGTTCAGTGATACCTTGGATAATACAGTCTTGCTTCAAAACTTGCTCTACTGAAATCAACTCTTTAAAGCATCAGAAAGAGGTGGTATAATATGGCAACACACAGACTGTAACCAAGAGGATGCAGCAGTTAAAAGATGAAACTATTTTCTTTTTTAAATTTCATTACGTTAATTTCTAGTCATAAATACTAATCTGTGTATCTTGTTGGTCTATCCAAAAAGCTGCAAAAAGGTAACATACCAACCATTTCATATAAGCCAGTTTTAGGCACTTAAGCACAACATTGGGGCATTTTGGTTTTTGTCAGTAAGATGTAGTCTTTCCAAAGAAAGGGTTGCTAGAAACTGGAATGGGCTTCCAAGGGAGGTGGTGCTCTCCCCTACTTTGGGGGTCTTCAAGAGGAGACTGGACAAGCACCTAGCTGAGGTCATCTGACCCCAGCGCTCTTTTCTGTCCAGGGCAGAGGGTCAGACTCAATGACCTACCGAGGTCCCTTCCAACCCTAATATCTATGAATCTATAAAAGAAAATTTCCTGGAGCGCACCAAATGGTGCCAATCCAGACAGCATACATTTCACTGTAACTTTCTGGAACACTAGCTGAAACATACTCCATAATGCCACAAAAAATAAGCTTTATTCTTCTTCACCTCTTCTAGAAACAGAGATTCAAATAACCTCTTCAACTCCTGACAAGTTAGGCCTTTTGGCTTGACATGCCTAACTCAAAGTCCTCCTGGATGGCAAAACATGGAAGAACTTGAGTCTTATTACTCTCAGAAGAAAATTCCTGCTTGAAGAAAATGTGCAACACTAACAAATTTCTTTTGCTACCTGCTTGCAAGTACCCTATTTCTTATTTAAGCCCAATTATGATATATAATATCCAGAAGTCCCACAGAACCATTTCACCTTCCAGTAGTATGGTAACAGAGCAGGGGTGGCCAGAGTTACTCACCCTGGGAGCCACATCTGATGCTCCACCAAAGGTCAAGAGCCAGAGAGCAGGGGGGACAAGGGGATGCTGAGCAACCTAGAGTGGAGGTGACCACTCCCACCCCCACACAACGCCAAGCCACTCCAGCTTTCCCTGTGGGGAGCATGTCTCGGGGTAGAGTGGTGTGGGTGCAGTCCCTGCCCCTGTGCCTGAGCCAGCAGTCCCAGAGGGAAAGAAGGAGGGCGGGCTCAGGGCATGCTCCCCACAGGGAAAGCTGGAGTAGCGGGAGATGCCAGGCTGCGCTATCCCCCAGAGTTGCCTAGGAGAGAACTGGGCAGGGCTTTGGCCAATTTCCAGAGAGCCGCAAGTACTGTGCCGGCATGCCACATGTGGCTCATAACCAGCGGTTTGGCCACCATGGGAATAGAGTTTTCTCCTCACTGGAACCCGAATTTGAAAGAAGTTTAGTTAAGAAGCTACGAAGGACCTTGCCTTGATATACATGGTGAAGTGGTGAAAAGCTATTGATTCACTTCTTTAATTGTGGGATTAGACACCCAAGACCAGATGCTGCTAGCACTGAAAGCTTAAAACTTCCATTCTGCTGCCTACTTTCTCAGAAGCAAGCCTGTTGCACAAAGCACTGCAATCTCAGTAACAAATACACAAGTTGGAGATGCCATATATACTATTTTCTCTTAGATATTATATGACAGGTTATTAAGATACAAGCGCAAATGTACAGAAAGAAATTCTTCAATAAACTCAAAAAAGAAAACTGAAGAAAACTGATGTTCCAGAATAAAACATTTGGGGAACGAAGCCTAGAAAAATAGCAATGATACAGGCATGCTATCGGCACTAAAACAAAATAACAGTAGTAACAGTAAGTAATGTGGTTGACTGCTTCCAACTGACTAACAACCATAAAGTGATTATTCAGAACAAAAAGGAAAGAAATGCTCCCCTCCTTCAGTTTCTGTTTTTATACACAAGTTGTTACACATCTTAAAAAATATAAGGCTTACTTCTTGGCAAGTGCTCTTCTTTCCTCTGGTGTATAATCTAGGGATCCTATGGCTCCTTCTCCTTTTGTTGGCATAAACCCAATAATGGCTAGTAAGGCTGTTCTTACTAAAATTGAAAATAAAAATAAAATTGAAAGTTGCAGCCACTACAACCATGGTTACTTAATCTAGACTAAAATCATGCAATGAGTTTTGCCTACAACGTTCCATTTTGTCTGAAGAAAATTTCTCATATTTCACATCAATAATGTTCTTGGGACACACAAAAAAGTTATTTATAAACACAACAGTGAAAGACATACAGGCAAGTGGAAGATGAAACAACCGATAGATGGGTGGGTGAGGACTGGACACAATGCAAAGAAGGAAGACTAAGTCATTACAGAAATGCTAGGCCAAAATTAATCGAGTTGGGAATGTGTGAGAAAGGATCTTAAGCACTAGTGGCAGGAAAGGACTGACATAAAAGATGTTTCATGCAGCATCCTTCTACACTTTCATCACCTTCCTGTTATCTTTTTAGGCTCAGACCCTGCAAGTGATGCACACAAGCTCAGGAATTTACCTGCTTACAGACAATAACAGAATTGGACTATCCACACTTTTGGACAGGCAGGGACAAATTTGCCTTCCAGAAAAGCACTTAAAATACTTGTGCCTTGTAAATGTTTATTCTTCATATTTACATGTTGTTTACCTACATCAGGGGTGTCAAAACATATGGCCCCTGAACCTGATCCAGCTCGCAGAGCTTCTTGTCACAGCTGCCAGATCCACTATGTTGGTCTAGCCCAGGGGTTGTCAAACACAGGCAT